GTTTCAATGTTCGCAGCTGTACGCAAATTGTAACACAAGCACTGAGGGCCTACATCTCCTTTAGCAAGATTTCCAGAGTGATTTAAAACATGTTGCTTGAGTTTTTCTTATGAGCATTCCACTTTGGGACATGCTAAACATTAAAGCACCATCCTGCTAACCTTTCCCAGTTTGTCAGGTCAGCCTCTACACAATGGCGTGACGTGGTGGGGAAGAAGAGTTACGTTTCTTAGGGACAGGGTGTGGGCTAAAATGCAAAAAGACTAATATTAAAATATTTTCATGGGATCAGTTTTAAAATTAAGGAAGGGCTTCGTGCCAGAGCTTGAATCTGAGTCTTAGCTGGACTTGGGGTAATTGTTGAAATCTCTAGCTGTTTGTTTTCAGTGCACCTTGCTGAATGAAAGGTGAAATGCTGAACTGCCCTGGCAAGTCTTGTATCCAGTTTTGCAGATCTTGGGCTTGACTCCTGTGCTCTTCAGCTGCCTGTAGGCTTCAGTTCATACTCAAACAGATGGGCTATTTCCTTTTCATTAGCTTATCCCTTTGGTTTTGGTTGCTGACAGATTTGGGACCACATTCATGACCAGCTTGTAGAAATTCCTGTTGAAAGTAACAGTGGGATAGAGTCATTTAAGACACTACATAGTTCTCTTATTCCTAAGTGATTCTAATAGCTACAAATCAAGTTACCCACAGTGCTGTTCGCTGGTACTTATTGAATTGTTGCCTGCTGGTGGCCAGGCTAAGTTGATTACGTGTCTGAAGACTGCCACTTCCCCTGCACGCTTTTTATCAAGGAAAAGCTCTGCTAAAGGTTCAGAAGTAGGCATTGCGCTATTTTTCACGCAGGGTCATCGTCTCTCTTTCCTCTTGCTCTATTTGTCAGTATTCCTGATGCGAAGCCAGGAGACGTTTGTCCGCAGCCAGCATCACAGCAGCAGGTGCTTGCACGGTCAGGAAGCCAGCGCAGAGGCTGGAGGTGTGAGTCTGAGTCTAGCATGTGCGTCCCTGCCCACACTGGTCTTGGTTTAGCTGGTACTGACAAGCCTCGCGGAGAAGGTGCCACAGCACCTGCTGCAGCAGGGCTTGGGCAGGCTCTCCAGGAGTCACAAGTATGTACTGAGGCAGTGAACTCATGTTAAACCCTGCACTGACATGATTTTTTTGTGAGATTCTCATCTTAGGTGGCTAGACTGCAGCTAGCTTAGGTTTGCCTGCAAGTGCTGCCGTCTTATCTCCAGTTGCATTGCCCGATTCACCCCAGAAATGTGCAAAAAATGCACATTAAGAACATGTGTGGAAATAACATCAAGGTATCTTACTTGATCAAAAACAGCTTAAGTAAATTAAATAGCCTCTTTAATTTACATATCGGGTTGCACTTGCTAGAAGAGTGCAGCCTGTGTTCCCATGCCTGTTTTGTACTGTAGGATCAACAAAACATGTAGGTCGCCTGATGCCGACGCAAATATTTGTCAGTAATTTATTTTGTTTGGTTTTCACTAGTCCATATTCCAGACGGTGTAAGAAGTCAAGCCACGATGATTTTTTGTTAACAATAGAAAAATAAGATATATGATGCTACCTAAAGAATACATCGTAATGTAAACAAGTGTTATAAGTACAGAATATAATAAAACCAGCACCTTACCTATTTTTTCCTTACTTGTAATCAGTTATCTAAATGTCACCTGCTGTACCAAGGCAGCTCAGGAAGACATCTGCATTGCTACCCTGCTTGTGAAGTGCAGTACTTAAGGCAGTGTTGTTGAGCGTACATATATCACTTTTATTCACCTACCTTACACTTTGATTTCTTTCTGCTCTTCCTTTAGGGATAATAGGGATAATACAGTAGAATAGTTTAATGCTAGTACCTTGTTGGTGGTTAGTAATTTCAGAGCTATATAACAAAAAGGGTATTTAGTGAAAGGGAACCGTAGACAGATGAGTTAATATTGCTCACAATTATGAATTCTCGGCCTTGTACTGTGGTCATCAGCGTTTTTCTGGACCATTCTCATTTTTAAAAATTGAAATTATACAGTATGAAGGCAGTCTCAGGATAAGGAATGTATTGTTTATACTTTTAAAATTAATATTGGACGTTATTATTTTTGATATTTTAGACTTTTTTATGTTAATATAAGAATAAATTGCGTCCTTGCTCTCAGGAAAGACACCATGAGGGTTGAAATTAAGAAAATTAGATGTTGTTACATTTGGATAGATCTCTTATTTTGTCATCTTCATTTTACAGTTTTCTTTTCTTAGATTAAAGACTGGAAGATTAAGTTATGTATAAGGAATTGGGACTATAAAACCCCAGCAAAATCAAACAGTCAATGAATTCTTAGTGCCAAAGAACAATTACATACTGAATATAAAACTTAAAGGAGGGAAGAACCTGCAGAGTTGGAGAAAGATAGTGCAAAAGTCCTGCTGGCAGAATTTTGCACCACTGTACATAGTATACTTTTGTTTCAGTCTAGTGAACAGCACATTAGAGCTTAACACCCCACAAGTTCCCAGGGATAGATTGTGCCAAAATACAATAAAATGTCTGAGATGGAGGATCAGGTTACAACAATGAAATAACCAGATGTGAGAATTGTATCATCAGCCTGTCGCTCTGCCTCTTTGAATCCTTTAATAGGTGGGTTTTTCCTGAACCAACCCTAAATGCATTCAGTGGAAAGCTTTTTCTTGAGCAAGTCTCTCCATTTCCCTTGAGCTAGCCTTCCTGACTCCTCATTTTAGCCTGAAGAAGAGAAGACTGAGAGGGGATCTAATCAACATGTACAAATATCTCAAGGGTGGATGTCACGAGGACGGAGCCAGACTCTTCTCAGTGGTACCCAGCGCCAGGACAAGGGGCAATGGGCACAAACCGAAACATAAGAGGTTTCAGTTGAATATGAGGAAAAACTTCTTGACTTCGAGGGTGCCCAAGCCCTGGCCCAGGCTGCCCAGGGGGGCTGTGGAGTCTCCTTCTCTGGAGATATTCAAAGCCCGCCTGGACGATGTCCTGTGTACCCTGCTCTGGGTGAGCCTGCTTGAGCAGGGGGGTTGGGACTGGGTGATCTCCTGAGATCCCTTCCAACCCTTGACATTCTGTGATTCAAATCTTGTGCTACTACTACTTTTCAAATCCACTTGCCTTGTAATGCTTTGCAATAGCCTTTGCTTGGTAACCCTTTAACCTCTCTGGTTGAATGTGTGGCAAGGTTATTACCTGCTGCTGTGCTGACACTGTCGAGGCTACTGCATCCGGCTTGTTCTTTCCTTTAACTCTTTGGGGGAAGTAATTTCATCTCTCTGTGCTTCAGGTTTCTCATCAGAAACTTGATAGCAATTTTTTTAATCTAGATTTTTATTTTTTTCCGTGGGGGTTTTCTTAGTTTCTGGATTATATCTGAGGAAGTCTTTGCTCAGTGGCAGTATGACTGCTGTGAATAATTGAGATCCTAGTATCTCCTCTGTCAGGACTCCAAATTATTTTGTTGCCGTACTTTATAAAACTTGTTTGACATGAGAAAATATGCCCTGCAGGATGAGGATGCTGCGTTATAATTTGTGCTACAATTTTTATGGATTATGGAAAATGATTAAAAAAATAAGTCTAAAAAATTGCAAAATGTGTTTTGAATTTTAAATATTTTCTAAGGAGCTTTGCAAAAACATGAAGTTAAATATTTGCAGTATAGCATGAAGATCAATATGTGGATTATAACCACTTCTAAATAGCATTAGGTATAGAAAATGCTTCTACTAAAACATGGTTTATTAAAATGTTTTTGCTATAAATGTTCTTGTTCTGTTTGCAGAAATGGGATGAAAAACATGACCTCCTTTGTTTGCTTTTGAGATCCCACTCCCTTTTTCTTTTAATTTCTTTTTTTTTTATTTTTGATTCTTTGCAAAGAGCTGGAATTATGTCCTTCTGGATGCTGCTAAATCACCTTTGCCAGAAAGAGATTACTCAGAGGACACATAAAAATATTTGCTGAGAACAGATTTTAATGTTTTAGCAATGATCCAGTTTGTATAAAACTGGCATTACCTCTACATGGTTGCATGTTACACTGAGGATGCTCCCCAGCCATGGGTAAACTGCTAGTGGGAATGGGTAAAAGTTTGCTGTTGTCAATAGCAAATGTTTCTTGGGAATTGAGCTTATATCCAAATTATTCTGTAGCTTGGAAGGATTTGGTCTATGATTTTGGTTCAGAGATACCTGTAGAAGCAACCAAAAAGGCAAATGTCTCTTGGGAATTGAAAAAAACCATTAATCAAAGTAATAACAACAGAATACTGAGGTTTTCACAGATATGAAAAGTGTACAATTGCATAGTAAAGAATGAATCACATCCAGAAAATTAAAAGGAAAAGGCAATGCTTAGCAAAATGTAAGTAGTGTTTTGGGGACCTCTGAAGTATAAATGATGGTGGTGTGACATGGGAAATTATGCTTTGTTGTTTGACTCAAAATTACATTTTGAAGAAGTATTACGTAGCTGTGTATCCAATAAATCTGTCACTACTTGCCGTTAAATAGGTAGAAAAAGATTTTTGGGGAAAGAAGCAAGAGCATTATGTAGAAATCAGAGGTCATGGAACGCTATACTCTAAAGCATCCCTTACCTCGTCAGAGTATCTCTCAGTTACTAGTCAGTAAGGGTTGGGAATCAGGCCAAAGAAAACAGTCCCCCATCAAGCCAGTTTCTGTTGTCTGTCTGGAAAGGTGCTCTATGAAGAATGGTTCCAAAAATTGTGATTGGGTAGTTATGCAGACAATACGTATATGTTGCAAAAATGCAAAGGGTGAAATATTTTTTGAGTGAAATAGTCTCATTAATTTTCTTAGAAGAGGTCCAGCACAGATCTGGCAGAAACAGGTAAGAAATGCATGTAAAATTAGATGCTTCAACTTGGAATTGTCAGAAGTTTCCTTTACTCCCAGGTCTGCAAAGTGATTCTTTATTCTGTTTCCATAGGTGCCTATCTACCTAATCTGAGAGAACTGAAGTTGAACAATAGCTTGCTTGTGTCTGTGAGGTAAGAAATGAATGATAACTGAAATAAACATAAAGAATAACAGCCCTCAATTGTATTTAAGTGATAAAATCTTCATTTGTGCTGCTTTCATTTCTTCCATTTCCCCATGCCATGATAATAGATTAGATCATGAATATATGCTCTGCAACTACATAAGTTTAAGGACAGGACCTGAGCTGGAATAAATCAGTGTAGCTGCAATGATGCCAATGAATTAGCCCCAGTCTGCCACCAGGGGAGTTCCTGCTATGATGAAATCTATGGAAATTCGTTGCAAATTTGAAAGGACCTAGAAATTCTCCTCTTATCTATGTCTAGGTGCTTGGATTTCAGAGTGTTTCAGCCTTTGGACTTTTATTGTGCACAGTAGCCTGTTCTATACAGGTCAGACCAGTTCCTCAGCTGATGAAAATCACTTTGGCTTTATTGAAATCAATGAAGTTGGGTTTATGGGAGCTGCTATGAAGACTGTGTGTCCCTGGCTTGCTGAGCTCCATGAAAGCATCACACATTTTCTCCCAGAGAACTAGGGAGTGAGCAGGTTGGAAATGTAGGAGTGAAAATCATCGCAACGAGGAGGCAGAGCTGTCTTCTCTCTCCTGTGCTGATATTTGTATTACTCTAGGCAATTAATGCACAATGGAAAAGTACAGTTCGCATCAGTAAAGGGCTGTGTAAAAGGCCGTCTTCATGTTAAACAGGACTGCTCTCTGTCTTTGTATGGCTATCTGCTAAATTTGTTGGGGGAAAAAAAAGCGATTTTGCTAATTCTTGTTAAAGAGAACATGATCCCTGATGGGAAACAGCAATAAATTCTTCTCTGTCTCACGCATCATCACTGAAATAGCTAATGAACTTCAGTTGTCACACTTTGATCTTCTTTTCCCTTGTTCTGGTGATGAGATGAAGTATTAGCAGTCTAAATTTTTTTTTCCATCTTCTAGTCCATAACACGAAAAAGTGGTGATTCTACATTGCTGCAATTATTTTAATGGCAACCGACCACTGTCATAAGCATGAAATTACTCCGTTATTGCAATGGAGGAGTAAGTAGTGGGTGAAAAAAAATTATATTTTTGACAATAGCAAAATGTGTTTTATTATAAAAAAAATTAAAATAGTTTTTTCATTTGGCCAAACATCCATATTCTCTTAAAATGTGTCAGTGGAAAATGTTTTGACCAGTTCTGTTGGTATTGAATACAGAATGAGTTCAGAAAAACTAAACTGTTTAGTTTATTTGACTGACTTATGGCTTTAGCAGGATTTTGCACATCCCTTTGTATTCTGAGACTCTAACTTCTGTCACAAAAAGTTTTGGCAAACCATTTTCTGTGACCTGACATCCTTGTGGTCCTTGATGTAAGTAACGTTTGGTCTCAAGTTGAGTTTTGATTTGATCAGCTACAACATATATATGTTTTGGCTTGGATATCAAGTCTAATATTGTGACACTTCCCAGGCACCCAAACCCCAGGAGAAGCTACCCACTCCTCCTTTAAACAAGCGTGCTTTCTGTGTGCCAGTTAAATGCAATTGTCGGGGAATAGGTAAAGGAGGAAGACAACTCTGCTAGCTCTCCCAGACCAGAACTCGGTCAGTATAGAACAGTAGCAGCTTTCCCTTATTAATTCCCATCTTTGACAATCTGCCATTAATGAACACAGACCACTTCAGGGCACAGCCCATGCAAGCACAGCCTGGGTACTTGAACTTTATTTGTGGATGTCTGCATCATGTCAGTGTCGTGCCCATTAAAGCAACATTGCTGTCATGGCAGTAGCGATGTCTGCTATAGCTAATGTAACATAGCTGCTTCCATTCTAACAGGCTCTTGCTGTTTACTCAAAAACATTTAGAAATCTTATTTCTGAATTAAACTTGTTGATGTTTGAATTCTGTCCAAAAAGTGATTATTTTGTTCTATTTGACCAAACCCTTGCAACTGAGGTTTTTGAGGATGATAGAAAAAAATGTTCTTCCTTCTCACTAAAAGTAATTCCCACAGACTTTCTCAGCCATAAGGTCAGAATTGTTGTGGTTGTAATTTGAAAATGGGCAGCAGATAACAGGAAATGTCTCCTAAGGACAGCCTGAAAGATTGGTTTGTTTACTGAAAAGAAGGTAAAGACAGAAAAGCAGGCAAAAGATAGAGGGTGTTTCATATATAATACTTGGGATGTTAAAAGCAGGCATTCTTTTCATGCTACATTATGTGAAAAAAAAAATGTATCATGGTAAATCGTTATGAACAAAAGACTGTCAGTGTGTATGCATGAGTGGGGTAATAAGATGGGAAACTTGCTTTTTGTCGCTTTGTTTGTGTTTCATTCTGTCTTGCACAGTAGAGTTTCCTAATTATTTTAAGATGAAATGGAATTAAAGCACCTTTTTTCAATTTGAAAATGGGGGAAGAATTCTCTTGGTAGTGAACTGCATATAGGGAGATGTCAAAATAAGGATTTATGATCCTGACTTTCATTACAGATTTTTTTTTTAAATGTTTACTCCTGTCAACCTCACATAAGAAATTAAGTTGTGAGGGTGCTGAGGTGTGCATTGCCATTCGCTGTTTGATAGAAATCAAAGGAAGGATGTTCTGGCAGTGAGGAATCAAGGTACTAGTGTATTATGATTTTCCATGGGAGAGAAAGGCTTGCTAGGTCCGTGAGATTGGATATTGGCTTTTCCTGGTAGTCCTGAAGGAGTTCTGATTCCTTTGATGGGGAATGTGGTTGAGCTACTTTAGCTGTGAATTCATGGTCCCTCCCCAACACTCCTAAAGCTTGCATTACTTTTGAATACTTGGAACTTTGAAAGGCTATAGATAAGTGCAGGATATCATTATCAACTATTTAATTTAATCCATAAGGAAAACATATCGTAGTTTATTCGCAGATAATTTGTCTTGGCAGCAGAAAGGGAATTTCTTTTTTGCTGTTTCTGGGTTTTAGTTTTCTACTGGCCCTTTGCTAAAAGGCAACAGCTCTGGAAAACCCAGTGTACTGTGGAAAGAAATTAGTTCAGATTGTTGTTAATTTTCTAAATCACACTAATTTATGAGGTCCTTGTTTGGTGACCTTCACCCATCTGCTAGCAGCTAAGAAATTATAGATTTATGAACTGATAATTGAAGATGAAACGTGGAGCCTGTTCTGAAGACTGCCTGTTAAAAACTGCCTTTTTTTTTTTTGTGATGACACACGGTCCTTGTCTTTGTAATGTTTCCAGTAAAAGAACTATATTTCAAGGCCAATGAATTCCTACTTCTGCTTTGGCATGTAGCCTATGTATTTTTTATCAGCTTGCTTTTATTCTCAATTTGGGGATGAATAAAAAGATATGTTTAAAAATGTTAGATAGATATCTTTATGAAAGGGCTTTTCAATCAGATAGGGGGATCTCAGGAACTGGTTCCCATAAGTTTATAGCAGACGCTGTTTCACCAGCTGAAGTTCATTTCCTCCCATTCAGCTTTATGCAATGTAGCCAGCAGAAGACTGGTCTGCTCCCAGGGCTACTTAAGCAACTGCTTGTAACAGAGAGAGGTTATTGTATTTTAAGTGAGATGAAATGCAGAGACTGCAGCATGTGGAGACAAAAGTAAGTGTGAGGGATATAGGGAAAGGAAAGTAGATTTCCTTCATCCAGATAGAGTTAACATTTCTTTGCTGCAGTCTGCATTGCGTGCAGTTCTCAAATTGCTCTTGCCCTGTTGCGGAAGGGTCCCCCAGAACAGGAGGACAGTAATCCCGGTTCCTTTGGGTCAGTAAAGTTGTCATGGGAGAGAGGAAATGAGACAGCTGTCCTGAAGGTTCAAATGAGCAAGGTGCAGAGTACATTCAAATTCAATAATTCTCATGCTTTTATGATAGATGGTTGGGGTTTTTTACCCTAGGTCCTGGGGACAAGACTGGAATCTCTGTATTCACTTGTTGAAAAGTTTCAAGCCCTCTTGACTGCGAAAATATAACTGAAGATGTGAGCCAAGTGACTTGAGTAAGGATTTTGCTGATCATTTCATGGCTTTAAGAAACCAGAGCCAAACTAATTTTTTCTTAGTTGAGGGCAAGGGCTTTTAACCAATGTTTAAAAATATTTTTGAAACCTGAATCAGGATCTTTAGGAATTTGAACTTAGCAATATTACTCCTTGGTACTTATCCAGCAAAGAATTGAAGCAAATGCTCACCTCTTAAAGTCACAAGACGTTTGACTTCAGTGGAACTGCTCTCAAGCTGAAAATTGAACGTTAGTCCAAGTGCTTTGCTGGATCTGGACCAAGTTACACCAACTTGTATAAGGCTGAGCTGTGACACACTGTGATCAGCTAAAAATTTGATGTGTTGCTGATAGCATGTGTCTAGGCACCCACTATTTGCTGGATTGTTTTCTCTCAACCAGAAGAGATTTAGGGGCATCATTCCTTGTCATTTTTACTTATTCCTTTCCTTGCTCCCTTTTTTCTCCAGTTTGCTTTTTCTTCTGCCTGTCACTTCTAATTTTTTGCAATTACTGGATTGCTGTGTCTGATGTATGTAATATAGGTACTACAGGTAAATGTGATGAGTTTTGTGCAACAAGGATCAGCGTTGCTTTTATGATAGATAAAATCCCAAAATATTTTCTAAAATCAATTCACTTAGTTTGTGTTAAAGTTGCAAATGTTTGTCAACAGATGATTTATTTGTATTACAGTAGTTGCTTACAAGTCTTTAATGAGGGATCAGGGTGCTCTTGCTCTAGGTTGTACTCGCACAAGCAGTCAGAGAACCACTGCTCCGATTTGGGCTGGGTGCGTCTCTCCATGTCCATATTTCAGTGCCCAGAGCATCACTATTTGCTTTGACATTTGCTTTTCTGGATGGGGAAAGCATTTAATTTCAAATGCAAGCTTTTTTTAGGAAGTGTTTCTATTGTTTCTTTTGTGTAGCCAGCCTGAAAGTCCTTCAGCAGTTAAGGTTGCTATGAAGTCTATCTTAAGAACATGTCTTTGAGGAC